AGCGCAATGAGAGTGGCATGCTAAGCCCTGAATCGCCCACTGTTGCTTCTGGTAAGCGTAAGTCAAGTGGCTTCTCTACGATTCTGAAGGAGGCAAGCGAGGGGCTGCGGGAGAGGAGCCGGTCCCGTAGTAAGAGCAGGGAGCGGGTCGTGCCCAGCGTGACAGTGGCAGCCTCTGATGTCAAAGGAAAGAAGGACTACAAGAACAAGAATGTCTTCTCATCACTTTTCAAGAAGCGTGATCGCAAGAAGTGGACCAAAACTACAGAAGGAAATACGATATCACCTGTGGATCTCTCCTCACCTGAGCAAAAGTTATCTATCATAGAACCAATCGGCAATGTGGAATTCACGTTCAACTCAGACGGGAACTACCAACCCTCAGAATATGGCATGATCCGCGCAGGAGAGAGACAGCAAGCTGGGGTATCACAGGACGTTGTAGATCACTTCACTAGAGATGATCATGTGCTTTGGGATGACAGTGCAATGAGAGATGATCGTGCAGTTTGTGAAGATCACGCAGCTAAGACTGATCATGTTGCTGTAAATGAGCTTTCCAATCGAGTGGCTAGAGTTGATCTCGCTCCTCAGCGTGATCACGTTGAAGAAGTTGTCATGACTCGAGGTACCCTCACAGCTATAGCTGATCTTGCAAATGAAGATAACCATGTTTCTAAAGTTGATCGTGCAGCTAGAACTGATAATGCCACTAAAGAAAATGGTATCCCACAAAATGAGAGTTTGCTGCCTTCTGAATCGGTGATGCTTCCGACGCTGTACCAGGATAAGATGGCCCTAGAGGACTCTCATTCACTAACTCTAGACAACTCACAAAGCCAATTTATGCCTTCTGAGGAGGATTCCAAAGTGACGATGTTGTCAGGGGTACCAGACTCTGCCAGCATAACAGACCATCATTCCTCTGAGTCGGAGAAGGACTCTGAGGCGGAGTTCCGACATACCAAGAAGAAGCAGCAGCCACCAGAGATAAAGCCTGAAGAGGAGGATCATGAGCGGAAGGGCCTGGTAGTGCAGCAGGACTCGTTCGAAGATGAATTACCTTATGTACCTACTACACTACCACAAGAGCGATCTGTGGCTGTGCCCATGGTTCCCATCAAACAACGCATAGCTGAAGTGAAGACTTGCCCTATTGAGCGCCCACGAAGCACCACGCCTATCAATCCGTCCCTGCTAGAGGACTACGTGCAAACTGAGGATGTGCGTGAACAAGCTATTGAGAAGATGCGAATATGTCTTCCACGAGAGGATTCAATTAGTGGACGAGCCAAGAGTCCACGGCGTGTTACAAAGACCTGGTTTGAGTTTGCTGAGCAAGGTATTCTGATATTATTAAACATTTCTACAATTAAACTTCATTAATTTTCAGTTCTGTAGGGAAGTAGACAAATTCTGTACAGCATAGAACAATTCCAAAAAGTAATAATATAAAGAATAATGACTCTTAGTATTAATATAAAATTATCTCTCAGAATGTTGTTTTGTGGATTTTCCAACTTGTTTAATCCAGGGAATTACTTGTTAGATATTTTGAAGGTATGGTTTATCTGTGCAGTGGGAACTAAGCTCATGGCTTAACTCCCAGACTGGGAGGATCATGACAGAGAAAGGCTGATGGATGGAGAGATATACACAGATATTCATGCCCTGGGCATCTAAGATTGTATGTACCATAAATAATACAATACCTGGAATTCCCTAAAATTATTATTTAAAATTAGGTTTTTATGTAGTGGTGTTTATGCTCATGTTCTGTTTCTAGTAACAGCAGAAAATCTCTCTACACTGTGTTTAATTCATATTTGTTAGTTTATTTAACAGCGTTTTCTCAACTGCATGGCTCGTATGACCTTGAGTGTGATCACTATGAAGGATGTAACATCAATCAGTCATGCACTGTCTTAACATACTGTCTCAGCGTTTGCCTGGATGAACCGAGTTAAACCATAAACAAAACTCTATCAGGATAGACAGCGCCAAAGCAGATTGCGGTGTTCTTCTACAAACATTAAATTGTGATGATATTATTGCCAACAAACTGAGATTTCAATGAGTGTTGATTACTACATCTGTGTTGCTACAGGTCTGCAAAGTCCACGTGAATACCGCAAACCGTCTCTGTCACAGTCATCTGAACGAAGTGTCTTGTCCCCATCTCCGCCCCCACCACCGCTACCTCCTCGTGCCCAGGCGACACCACCACCCCAGACTCCACCTCCAAAGCCCACGGGGTGGATCAATTTTGAAGAGATCCCAGAAAAGCGGAAACCTCCAAAACGGATCCAGACCATCCCTTCACGGGGCACCTTGGATCTACCGTCAGATTCTTCCAAACCGATAGCAGCAGAAAACACTGTATACAGTTACGTGAACCCTGAGGAGTGTAAATGTGAATGCCACGAGACAGCCGGGCAGGCCGCAGGACAGCAGCTTGCAGCATCTGCTCCACTTCCAGTGCCACCACCACCACAGTGTTTGCACAGTAGCATTATGGCCGCTAATGGGCAGTCCAACATATCTCGCCTCGATGTGGATTCTGCAGGTGATCGACATTCCTATATGAGGTGGGTGTAAAGTATTGAATGATGGTAATTAACAGGTTGTAAACTGTTTTGAAGCAAAGTGTGTGAAAGTCTTACTTATCGCTGTAACTACTTTGTAGTGCGTACTGCTCTGATACATACTGCAACTATTATAACTGTTTGGAAGCAGCAGTAACATTAATACACAGAATAGGAGCGGTAGTCATAATAATAGTACACGTAATAGTATTGCGGTAGTGATGGCCACAGCAGTAGTCATATCAATGTTTTCATCATAATTATATCACCAAAATTGTGACCATTCTTATTTGATTGTCATAATCATCATATAAACTTTACACTCGCTGTGTTATAAATTTATTTACCATAAGCCCCCTACAGGAAGACATTGGAATGAAGCCATGGATAACATCACAGTAGCTATGATACTTGGTTACTGTTAAATACAATCCTGTTCTTGGTTTACTTAGATAAGCTCTAAAATCATCTTCTAATATGGCGTGCATTACAAACATTTAACATCTGCGCATGACCAAGAAAACTTTTAATCACAGTACCGTCATATTCCGGTCAAGATACTTCATACATCGTGTCTTTTCAGCGATTCATCGTACGAGTTCCCGAGCCCGTATAGCCTAGCTGACAATGCTGATTACTCTGAGGGTCTGAAGCCGATGAAACCATTTGGCATGGACCTGGATGTTACCAGCAACAGGAGCAGCATCATATCTCAGGTAAATGTGAACGTTTTATACGATAGTTTACAAGGGACAGCATAGTAGCATAATTAAACAAACACTAATTGTGTTGTATGTACGAGGCTCGTCCACAAAGTAGGTTTCCCTGGGGCCGTTTACAGAAACAAAACACAATTTCATGGAAATATTTATTGCAACAGATACAGCAAGTGTCCAGCTATTTTTCAACATATTCGCCACCGGAATTGAGACATTTGTCATACCGTAGGACCAACTTTTGAATACCTGTGTCGTAGAAGTCGCCCGCCTGGGATTGGAACCACTGTGTGACAACCATCTCCGCCTCTCTGTCATTCTCAAAACGCTGACGCTGACCAGACAGGAATTTCTTGAGGTGTAGGAAAAGATGGAAATGACTGGGAGCGAGGTCCGGGCTGTAGGGTGAATGATCAAACACCTCCCAGCTGAACTCCTGCAGGAGACTCGCTGTCCGACTGTTAGAACGCGGGAAGTGCCGTTAGTGCAAGCGCCATGCTACGTCATTGCTCTATCACGTACGCACAGTCGCTTCGCGCAATATAAGGTTTGCTAGCTGTGGGACGAGTGGGAAACTTACTTTGTGGACACGCCTCGTATATGTCTTCAGCTTGTTGCATGTGACATAAATGAATTAGTTTTCTCACAGTATAAGGTGTCCTATAGAGTGTCGAAGAAAAAAATATGGAGTTCAGTGGAAAAATAGTTATTGACACAAGGAGAGAGAATGTGCAGACAGAAAAATTTACTTGCAGAACGCGTCAGGTTTTGACACATGAATCAATCCAACACAACACAGGACGGGCTTTACAATAAACTCGGTACATCTCAGTACAGGTTCCGTTCACAGCCCTGCAGACGTAGTGATGATATCTGGGCTCAGTCCGTGCCTGGTGTTGCTGTGTATACTTATTCTAATAGGAACACTTTTTATTCTATTTTAACAGGATGAACCACAATCGCCAGACCTTGGTTCTCCGAACGGCAATGAAAGTTAGCTCTCGTGAAGGAAGACTGTTGATGTTACTTGTTTTCTACAATAGTTGTTTTGTTGTTTCTGCTCAAACCATGAACCAGGGTGGCCACATTGTAGCGTAGCTCACTCATCACATGTAAGTCTCTAGTCTTTCGAGAGCAGCAATTTAGCAAGTATCATCTTTTTCTCTTACTATAACTTTGTGTCTCAAGGCTGTGCAAGCATGTTTATTAGTCTAAGGCACTCTGAGAGTCAGCAGGATTTCACAACCTTTCTTGAAGTTGCTGCACAGATCAGATCTTTTTATATAGTCTGAGTTACTGGAAGCATTATTAAATGAACCACAAGTAAATAAATAAAGTTTGAATTTATATGGAATTGAAAATTGACCAGGTCTAGAGCTTGCAAAATTATTTTTTATTATATGCATAGACAGGTGCAAACTGGCAGTCCTCTGACATATGTGGGAGTTTCACTTTAGCAAATTAATGATACGCCACGCGTGAAGACTTAACACCAAATCTTTCTCAGAATTTTTCCATAATGAGTAAGGTTCATACACAAATTTACATTTGTATTAAATACATCCTAATGGAAGTGAAGCTATACAATTTTATATTGTAATCGACCTTAATTATTTGTAATCTTTGAAGAATTTCAGTTTGCTTTTTTATAAATAAAAGTAAACTATAATTACTTCAGTGTTATTTTTCAGACATTATAAGTCTCCATCAAAACTTTAATATCAAGACATAATTAAATAACAAGTGAGCAGATCATAAAGTAAATAAATTAACAGGAAAGATATAAAACAAAATGTTTATCTACTCAGTAAATTTTAACATTTGGAAAAGAAGAACAACTGTTTTCCTCTTGTTTTTTTATCCATTTTCATATTTTCCTTTAACTCAGTTTGATATTTTATTTGAAATTCTATTCGTTGGATTCTGTCACTCTGTTTGTCTCACAGAAAGAATCAGAACTGTCAGTATATACTTGAATAATACCATATTTTACTTGCTATGTCTACAGAGGTATTTGGAAAGGAATTTTACATATTTGTCAATTGTGGTCTTATGGGTTGTGATGCTGAGTAGTCTTGTTATGTGGGTACCAACATTTCAGAGGTACATGAAAATAGAGGCAGTATGTTCCTCTGAAATGTTGATAACCACCTACAAGACTACACATCACACACAACCCATAAGACCACAATCAACGTCTTCAATGCTACGAGAACTAAATCTCTCCTCGTCAACATCAGCTGCAAGGTTTAGGCCTTTTGACCTGTTCTGATACCCAGGTTAGTCAGATTTGATCCTTCATCTCTTTGGTGGTCGACCTGTCTCTTTTCTTCCTTTAGGGTGGCAATCAGACAGCTTACAAGGAGTTTGATTAGTTGGCAATATTAAAATATGTTTATTCCAAGCAGTTTCGTTGGTATACTTTTACTTTCTCCTCCATGTTGGTTCTTTCCTAATATCTATGTTTCTCCTTTTATCCATTCTTTCACTTTCTTAAATCTCTTATATATACATTTAATTTTCTTTGCTTATGCCAAAGTCTGCTGCAGACAAATGGAAGAGTCTGAATTGTGTAATCAAATTATACACGGCATTGCAATATATTTATTATAGCTGAATTTTTTAGGGCGTTGATTCTGATGTAGAATCACAATTTTATTACTGGATCAATTGATGAACAGCAGCAGGAGCGTAGAAATTAAAACTGAAGACCAGTAATTGGGTGAGGCAGTTTCAAGAATGTGGTGGTTCAAATCTGTATTCCCAAATTTTATGCAGGATGCTACCATCTTGTAAGCGTAGAGAGCTAACATGGCCAAGCCTTGCATATTTAGGCCTAAGCTCAATCTTAGATTTATTGCGAAGACTGTTTATATTTCAATTCTGCATTAGACTTTTAGACTAAAACAAAGGTCCGCTATATGTGATTTGTTTATCAATAGCTTCTTTCATGGGGAGTTAGTTTTCATGTACTTTCCAAGAACCTAATGACAGTCGCTTAATATTTCATACGTATCAGATATCTCACAATTAAATAATATTTAGGAATTCCATTTCTGGAATATTGATTAAACAAACATATTTTTCTACTGTAGAGAAAATGTAATAACAAAGAGAGATTTTACAGAATTATTCTCTTTAGAAGTATATTTCTTTTGTTTTATAGTGGAACCTAATTTTTATGGCAGCAGATTAAACAAATTGTTACTCATGAATGAGAGATAAATGCGTGCTTAAATTTGAAATGAATATGTTGATCCAGGAATTGACTGAGCCCAGAAAAGCTGCATTGAGTCTTTGCCCTGTGCCACTTACCTCCCCATCTTGCAGTAACTATTTTCATTACATTGAACAAATATTCCTTCTTCTGAGTTCTTCTTTTGTTCGTAATGCCCTTGTTGAGATATATTTCATCATCACAATATGGTAAAACATTTTTGTGTGCTTTTCTGATTTCCACTGTTTCATTCAGTCACATTTGTGCCATTCTGTCAAGGATATTTTCCAGCCTGCAGAATGATTACTTTCTCATGCATGTTTCCAAAACAACAGGTTTCATAGGTACCTATGTATGACTGCAAATGTTGATGAATATAAATCATTTATGTTGAGCAAACAAAAGCAAACTTCTGGTTTTTCAGTTTCTAAATGATGATTGCTCATATATCCTTTTTATATTGGTTAAGAACTGATATTTAAGCGTGGTGGAAATTTGTTGGATATCCAGAAAAAAATCTGGTTTTATCAGCCCAGATATCATGTCTTACACACAGACAATATTTTCTCATTGCACTGGCTGTATAGAAACAGCCTCTTTTGAATCTATTGCAGTGCAGACACTGTCGACAGAATATACTACTAATACAATTTAACAGGAACATTTTTTTAATTTTATCAAAATCACTGCAGAATCTGATTTTATTTACATAATATTAGTATAGGTTGAAATGTGCCTCTCCTCATATGGTTTTTCCCTAGATGGCCCAAGTTTCTTCAGTCACTGGAATTATTTCCCAGGATTCATAAGCCGTGTCCATGAGACGAATGGTAGCGATGAAAAACACACACAGACATTCATGTCACAACAAACATTTAAACTCATAATCCTAGTGTTCGCTTGGCCTAAGACTTTGTCTACCTGAAACTTCAGGGCTGCTGCAATAAGTAGCTTGGAATGTACATTTTATGAAACTGTTATTCAGTGGGAAATATGAGCATCCTTGTAGATCTTAAAGAGTTTTTATGCTTTCATATTATTGTATATAAACAGTTGCCTGCGGAGATTCACATTCAAGCCTTACAAAGTTTATTTTAAACTGTCATTATAAGAATTTGTTTTATTGTCTGACGTGAAGACGGAATACAGATTTGATTCAAGTGACTGACTACCTTGGAGTGCCACAATAGTGTGACCTAAGTAATTCTAAGGAACACCACAATATGTTGGCCTCATCGGTGTTCTGGTGCTGTGGATGTTATAGAGAGAAACTTGTGATTTATATTGTGGAAGAACCAATGTAAATAACTACTGAATATCAATAGACATGACATTAATTCTCGGTTTGGATAAGAATTTGGGATCAACAGTTGTGGTCACCCTAGTATGGTACAAAAAACACTCAGAACTTTGTTGGTTTAACCAGAGTGTTTCGGACATGAATTTAATCTCAGTCTGCACTGCCTGCTCTCAAGTATGAGACTGGGCTCTTAATAAGGATATCTAATGGACTAACAGTTGTGTATGATTGGTTGTTTGTTCTACCGAAGGAAACAAGTGGAATTTCTAGTTGGTTGTGCCAGATGTGATTGATGCTTTGGAGCTTACATCTTCTACTTCCTTGAGAAGATCAGACCAATACACTTGACAGGTCTCTGCGTTTCAGTCTGTGTTACAGAAGCTTGTTTTAAGTTGACAAGAAGAAATGTGGGTAAAGGCAGAATAAAACATTTGCTGCAGAAAGAAGAAAGTTTTTTGCAGAATAGTTTTTATCAACACCCTGCACTAATGTGGTGGCCTTCAGGTACTGATCTCACAGCTCTGTTTACATTACTTCTTGTCCTTATGTTTTTGCTGTTCCAGTATAATGTGTAACTTTGGCTTATCCCCAAAAGTCAAAGTTTATAGTTTATTACTATTATGGATATTATTATTATTGTTATTATAATTGTGCCATAATCAAGAGTTTCATCTGTTTTATTTATTTTTTCTTTCCTTCCTTTTTTAATTACCATTTACCATTAAGTATGTTGTGGTATGTTACTACGAAATGAATATAAAACTTAATTACAGGAAAGAAGATGGCTGTCTTCTGGGTTGTAGCACCATGTAGTCTAATGGAAGTTTACTAGTGTTTCAGGGGTCTTAGCCGCCTCCATCATCAGAGCAGTGAATCCACATAATGAAGGCAGCAAGGGCTCTGAAACATTAGTAAACTTCTTTCAGATTACACAGAGCGACAGCCATTTTTGTTTACCGCTGTGAGGACCTGAAATCCTACTTAATTACAGGATAGTTTTTGTTACAATATGAATTTCATATGAATTCTGTTTGTCTGAAGACATGTTAACCTTAACTGAAATGTAAACTGTATGCAAAATGCTATGTGCATTTAATTTATAAGTTTGTAATATTAGAACCAGATCTGTGAGACACTGTGCAGACGTTGTAAAACAGTTGAAAGGGAATACAGGAACAAACTACACAGGTCATCAGATGCTTTGTTGTTATTTGTTTGAGACATTCTCAATACTTTCACTAGGACAAGTGTCCTACTTTGTGGTTCAAGTAAGCATTTAAGAAATTATTACAAATAATATATTTAAATTGTTCTGTAAGTAATATGTTTATAAATAAACAAATTTATAAATAAACAAGATTAATACACAATTATTAAAATGTTTAAAACGATGGCACTGTTTTTCATGTTTTTTGATCATCATTTCTCTCGTACACACAGAATTTATTCAACTAAAATCGAATGGTGACAATACACGTTTGAAAAATTTACACAAATAGTTTATTTAAATTAAGCACATTTTAATAAGTCTAATGTGTTTAAATGAAACCTATAGTAAATTCCGTGTAGGTAGACATTTGACACATTTTCTATTCAGAAGTGTCTAAAACAAGGAGATGCTTAATCACCATTGCTTTTAAACTTTGCCTTAGAATATGCAATTAGGAAGGTCCGAGAAAACCAGCTAGGCAGAAATTGAATGGAACACATCAGCTTCTGGTCTATGCTGGGGCATAATATAAGTACATAAAGGAGAAACAGAATCTGTAACTGATGCTAGTAAGGAGGTTGATCTAAAACCATAAAGATTAAAATACACCAAAGTATAATTTTGCCTCCAGTTTTGTGTGGGTAAGAATCTTGGTCTCTGACACTAAGGGAGGAATGTAGACTGAGGGTGTTTGAGAACAGGGTGCTGAGGAGAATATTTGGACCTAAGAGGGATGAGATGCTATGAGGCTGGAGAAAGTTCATAAGTTGTACTTCTTGCTCGATATAATTTGACTGATCGAGTCAAGGTGGATGAGATGAATCTGGCATGTAGCTCTCATGGGAGAGAGGAGGAATAAATAAGGTCAATTGAAAATAATTATTCAAATAAATTATAACGACAATCACCCCTACAGTGCAGAACTACTTTAAATTATCTTTTATAAATTGGTTATATTACAAATCGAAAGAATTTAAATAAAATACGCAGTAGTACCAGTGCTGCCAACTTGTATTAATTCAGCCAACCCTGCTGCTTCGCCATTTTGAAATTCCGGCTCTTATCCAGTTATTATCAGAGTCGAGGAGGTATGCATGCAGCAAGGGACTATTTTGAACATCATTTTTCTCATACATTCATAATCGATTTTGACATATATCGAATAGTTGGTGAGACAGCCGTCCTGGTGCACCACCATCGGCACCAGATAGTTCAAGGAAGCATTTACAATATTATAAACAATTGTGTATTTCAAACATTCAAATTAATAATTTTATAAATAAATATCTCCAGATTTATTCTTGCGATCTGATGCATATGCGCTCTTTGGACGAGTTGTAAAACAGTCTGTGAATATATTAACGTTGTTAACACCCCCGTACTACAGTCCATGAGGAAATGAAGCATTTTAGTGCATGTTCTTTATTAGTTTCAGTAAGGATTAGCTTTTAAAAGAAAATTTCAAACATATATATTGTATAAAAATTAATAAATTTTTAATCGTTTATATTATAAACAAATTATGGAACTAGTTCTGCCATCTGGCAACGGGTTCAAGAATTATATTACTTCGCAATTTTGATGCGCGCCATTTTGAAAACTCAGCTTGTATTCAGTAATTATGAATGTCGAGGAGGTATTCTGATACAAATATTGTTTTGAACATAATTTTTCTCATATATATCGAAATCTATCTATCGATTGGTCGATAGATGAACAATATCAACAATCATGGCGTACTGTTTGGATCAATTGTGGATGATTATAACATGAATGTGTTGTGAATAATTGTGAGAATGCAGCGTGTTTGCAGTTTCAGCCTTTTTTTCGAAAAATAATAATTGTTTCTCATCAGAATTTTCGCCTGTTCATTAGTATGGTACAGACGATGGGCCGTTAAAAAGGTACATGTAAATTTATTTACCAAGTTTTTGATCGGTGGTAAGCAAAAGAATTCCAAGTGGCTGCAAAGAAAAATGTGCCCCATAATAATATGAATGCATAATAAATTTTTTTCTGGCTATCATGGTACTCAGAGTACTGGTAGCCGTAGAAGAATTTATTGTATTTGGTCGCCGTGAAAGCTTAAGATCAATATGAATACACTTTAGATGGATTGAGGAAGGACAGAATCTCATTGACCAGGAATTGGAGTGTATATTTGCAAGAGAAACTGGCGATAGATTATGACACAAAAATGTTAAAAAAATTGTGAAGTCACAGTTTATTCAGTCATTCTTCTTCCCCAGATAACAGACAGCTATGCTCACCATCAGCATAAGCCACATTATTAGTGACAAGGATGTAAGCAGCCAGAAACCCATATTATATAACTCTGGATCATGGAACATGTAACTCATCTGTGTTAGGTTTCATTCTGTTATGGGCATCATAAAACACTGTAAGAGAGTCCCTGATGTGGGTGTGACGGTGAATATTACCCATCACTATATATCTTGTTATAACGAAGTCATATTGACACCTGATGTACCCATGAAAACCAAATTATCAGTCAGCTTCTTGCTTGCATATAACTTTAGCAAACAACTCATATTATTTTAAGTTACCTTTGTACTAAACTGCCCACAGATCCTTGTATGGTACACAGATAATGGGAATCAGTGTAGTAGAATTCATGAACAAGACATTTGTATAGATAAATATTAATTATATTACCTTTTATATCATTCTACACATCAGTTGATGCACAGTACTGAAGTGGAGCAGTAACTGTCATGCAGTAGAGTTTTATCCTATAGGTTCCTGGTTAAAAACTCAGAAGTGGCTTGTTCAATACAGCTTTATATTATTTTTGTATTGTTTCATTTTAAGTTGTTTACATATAAGTATCAAGGGTAAAAGTAAGATCATTATAGGAATATTATGAGGAAAAGGTTATCAAAAATAATACAGTGTACTACAGTATGTACTGTTTATGTGACATCCATTTTCTCTCCTTTGCCAAAGAATATGGAGCTGTGCTGTGTGGTCATAAAGATGTACAAAGTTGTGTAAGAACTTCAAATAATAGACTTCTGTGGGGATAGACAGTCAGGTGGGGAAAAAAAACAAACAGCAGGTTACATATTTAATACAAAAGCAAGTTTTGAATAAATTTGAACTTCTGTGTTTGAGTTTAGCATGTTAATATCGTTCTGAATTTTCTGTGATTTCACAGTGCTCTAACTTAGAAGGATTGAGAAAGCATCCTGATTGAATTTGTTGCAGGCTTGAAAGCAATGGAAGGATGTGTTGTGTGCGTGTGTTGCATTTTAAGGCACAAATGATCTTGTACTACACAAATGAGATTATGGGTTTTAATCCCACTCAGGGTATTGATACAGTATGTTTTTCTATATTGTGTTTGTACAGGATTTACAAATTGTAACAAATAAGTTATATTAAGTTGTAAAATAACATTTCTTGCTCTAAGACAAGATCTTTGAGGAAATAATTAGGACAACTTTAATTTATGGAAAGAAAATAATGAAACTAAATTGCTCTGAGAATTAAACCTGCAACAACCTGAATGTAAGTTAAGTGTATTACCATCAGACCATCATGTCCTTTTCTTGGTGTGGCTTTCAAATTACTAAAACAAAAAGTTTGAAACTGTTCAGAAATTAAAGAAATTTGTGTAAATTTTAAGATCAGAATTAACATAAGGTGTAAACGTCACTGAAGCAATTGATAGTTAATCCAAAGATCCTGTACTGCAAGCCCCAGAAACATGCAATCTTTCACTCTCTCTCTCTTTCTTTTTAAAGGTGCAATGGTACAAGTTGCAGACGAAGCTTCCCATCTCTGAGGATCTTGATAGCTCAACACTACTCATGTAAGCCATCCTGTTTTGTCTAAGTTGTGAAGCTGCTAATTCTGTAATTTCAAGTTTATAATGAGACATTTCATAAACAAATTTTCATTAACCATATTTTTCATTCTTTCCTGTTTACAGTACATGATACAAAGACCTAAGTATGGTATTATTACTTTAAATTCACTGTGTTCTATTTTAAATTGGATTTATTAAATGTGTGTGTGCCCATGTGAGTGAAGTGTCTGGTTATATACAGAGAAAATGTTTATCAAATCTAAAAGTTCGTGACGATGGTGAGTCATTTGAATAAAAATTTTCTTGGATATTTTCCATCGTCTAAGAAATAATAAAATAGAAAACGACGTTTCGGAGATGGGGCTCTATCTCCGTCTTCAGGTACCTACTCTGTTGGGCCCAATAGATAGAGCTAATCCCTAATAGTTCTTGCAGTTTTCAAACAATGTTTAAAAGAGATGCAGAAATAAATGGATGTAACTGATAAATGGAATCTGTTGATTCAAGTATCAGTTCTGAAGAACTGGACTGACCTCATCAGTGGAGTTTTGACATCCTGTGTTCAGTGAAAGTTTAGGAACCGAGTATGACATACTGTTTGAACTGTCACTGGATTGAAATGTTTGGATGTGTACTCTCATGTGCGCAGCAAGTGTCAGCATTATATCCTGTCTCCTGTTATCTTTGATGTGTACACTTGATTGTTGGTACTCTGTCATTGGATATGATATGTACCTATGTATTTTATGTCATGTGATCTTGCCCAGGATACTTGGAGGTATTGCACATCGTTAATGAAAAATGTAAAATTCTGATATTAAAATTAATATTTTTATGTTTAATTCCTTCCCTAAGAACAAATCACGAATACAGCAGATGGTGATTCATGGCACGTTGTCATCATTATTTACTTATCTAACTCCAGGCTTGTACAGGGAATGACTGCTTTTGTCGATTTGATGTTAGGCACATTTTACAGAGGAAATGTTGAATTTTCTTCAATTACATGTTGTCACGGGGTTTTGCTACTGGCTTCTTAAGAAACATCACTTGCCATCAGTTAAAAAAAATAACAGTGATGTACTAATGAAATGAACAACAGAAAAATGCATTCAGAAGCCAAAGGCAGATGATTTTAATTAGTTTAGGAATACCAGACGTATGTATGTGAAGAACCGCAATTTCTATAGTCCATTGTCACAGGTCGGTTTTCCTAGTTTGCCTACTGTGTGCAACAATATACTAAGGTCTTGCTTTTATTCCAAAGGTAAACATTTGAAGTGCATGTGTATTTGGATTTGAGTGGTTTATA